GCAAGGAGGCTTAGATAATTATGATCTAACACCCTCCTCCCCCATCATTCCCCCCAGTTACATATACTGTCCCAAATTTCCCAAACCTTTATCTACTATCAGGATTGCACTAGACCTGGCAACTGTTGAGCCCTAACAGCGAATATGATGATGAGGGTGAAAATTACATGGTTACGCTTCTTTCCTAGTGATTAGCAAATATTAAGTCACTAATTCTCCTATTCCTGGTTACCAATACTATTTGTTGGCTTTTTTCATAAGATTTCACAAAGTACTACCTACTTTGCTCTTCTACCCATTTGTATACTTCTCTCATTTTCAGCATGACACCCAGTTAAACTAGTTACATTTAACTCTTTACTTAGAATAATAAAGATTTTCCTGCCTCCTCCCTTCTAAGATTTGCTTTTATAAGGGATCTACAGAGCATGCTAGTGAATCTTTTCCTCTCTTACTACATTTCCATCTCCAGAGGTTAAATGACAATTTAAAGAAATTGTCTGGATGGTTATAATAATAATCTCAAGAGAAAACAAAATGAAAAAGACACTAGGTCTCGCACACTTACAAATCTTCTACTTACCCTCAGCCCTACTACTTCCAGTTTCTATAATAAAAGTTAAATGATGACAAAATGAACACAAATGAAATTTACACATACACACACAGGAGGCATCCATATCCGGAGAAGTAAACAAGTCCTAAAAAGCAAAACTCTAGCTCTTAATTATTGACCCCAAAGACTTGCTGACAATTACTAACAGTTATTATTATTATTATTATTTTTTAAATATGATATAAAATATTTTTAAGGCTGAATAAAAAAGGTAACAATGTGAAAGGGGAAAAATAAACCACATAGCTATATCCCCCAAAAAGTAAGGAATAAAAATAAAGCATGGGTGTCTAAGAGGGCTATAAAAAGGAAACTAGATATTAACTGACAAGTAACTCTTTAGAAATAACACAAAATTCTACAAAAAGGTAAGAGCAAAAGACGATCTCTGGTATAATAAAGTAGTTTGTACAGTCAGTATTTCCCTACATGAATTTTATTAACCAAATCATTTTATGGCTTAAAAAAATTGTTTCCTTCAATAAGCCTGCACATGCTAGACAGATGTTACAGGTCAATACTCATGTACATGTCATCTACAACACTGGAGGAGAAGGCTTATGAATATAAGCAGCTCAGTTTTATTTGGCATTTTGAATTCTTAAGAGTGTTCACTGTGTAAGATAAGTTTAGGGTGAGTCAACACTGAAAAGCGGCATATTTACCTTTCCTCTACCCAATAATAAGTGGACTCCTTACTCCAGTGCTGGTGCAGAGATCACCAATCCAGGGCCTGCGGAAGCAGCACTGGCCAACCGTCATTGGTGGGGGAAGAAAAAAAGTTTCTGCACCTTAAAAAGGTCAGAACAGCTCTGGACATTGTTGAGGCTTTTAAAAGGACAGCAATAGGCAAGGAGACAAACATGGTCACCAAGAAAGAGAGATGTGGGAAAGATGGAGGGCAAGAGGAAATAAAAGTCAAGAGCTTTGTGTTTTTGCTTCAAAATTTAATTTTTTTGAAAACCTGAAAACTTACATAACATTTTAGGAACATGGCTGTTCTCTTAGAAAGAAAATCTATTGTTAAAAAGCCTTTCCATAACTTGGCAATGCACTGCTCATTAACATATATGTGGCAAATGACTTTTTTTGAAAAAGAATTTCAAGTGGTCAAGATATCTTTTGTGTAATTCAATTCAAGAAGCATTAAGTGCCCACCATTATGTGCCAGGTTCCAGGGATACATTAAATGGGGGGGAGGGGCTCTTAACATGGGGGTGTGTTTGTGAACTTACTCTTTTTAAAATATTTTTGATAACTATTTCAATATACAAGATAATTAAAAAAAAACCAACCTCAGCTCTGTTTTTAGCTACTAACGCTTGACTTCTATGACATTCTGTAATTGGTTCCCTTTGTAATCCTCCCTATTTTATGATTTAAAAACATGATTCTGAGAAAGGGTCTGTAGGCTTCACTAGTAACTGTCAGAGAGGTCTACAACACAAAAAAAGTTATGAATCCCTGCACTAAAACATCAATCTAAGTGAGGAGAGTGATTTAGCTCCTCCTCAAGCCTTCCTAAGAAATGGCAATTATTTCTTTCACTTCTTGAGATGTGACTACAGGTTTCTGCTTTTATTTTCTTCTTTCATACAGTCTACACATTAACTATGCTTAACAAATATTTTTTCATGGCAATATTTGCAGAAGGCAAGAAGGATGGGAGAAACAATTAGTTGTAAGTCCATGTTAAAGTTTAAGCTGAATGGGAAAATTGTCCCTCTGTAAGTAACAAAATGTTTCCCCATTATAATTAGACCAAGCTTATTGACATTTTCTTTGGACTTCTATTCTTCCCGTTAGAGGGCCAAACTCTGTCGCCACTGGCCAAAGGCCTTGGAATAGTTAATGGTAAACAGAGAAACAGCAACGAGATCTTTGTCAATATCATGGAATTAATTTTAAAACCAATAAGCTCAAGGGCTTAACTGTTCTCTAAGTCTTTGGAACCAAGACACAAAAATTTAGATACACAATTGAAATTCTAATTCTCTTGTCCTAAAAAGGTCTTATTTTCTGAAGTGAGTATTTACTTATAAGGCAATTTACTCACCACTGTTTTGTGTTCGGGAAGCCTCACAAATAATTTGCCTAGATCAATCATTTAGTACAGTATGATTCTCAAACTATCTCCCTATGCCCAACCAATCTCTTCAAAGAGAAAAATCCTGGGCAGAGGGAAAAGTCCTGATAGTGAAGACATTTCTTAAACATTTAGTAGATTAGAACTATTTTAAAATAGAAAACCAAGTGACATATTCAAGGGCATAAGTATAAGCTTATGTGTTGTCAGTGGGCTATCTGGCAGCTCTAGGTAGGGCAGAGACAGGTAGTCTGGGATTTGAGGGACTGTAACAGTCTTTTTTTTTGGGGGGGAAAGTGGGAAGGGGTTAGGGATGATGAAGAGGCAGCATCACCATGTTTCCAGACATACATTTCTACCCAGCAAAAATGACTAGGACTGGACAAAAACAGCCTGAGGGATGATTCCTTAATCACCTGACCAATTTCATTCAACCTCTAATACCTGACCAAAAGAAAAAAAAATATAATCTGGGCAATATTTACTCTCACTTTAATCTTTTGGATAAGGGGTTGAACAAGTATTCCTGGTAATACAAAATGAATATCACTTACACTCATAAAACATAAGAGCTGGAAGACACTTTAGAGATTTAGTTCACAGATGAGCAAACTGAAGCCCAGAGTTGTTAAAGTGACTTTCCCAAAGTCACACAAACGATCAATGGCAAATCCAGGTCAAGAACTCAGGTCTTCAATGTTCTTTGAACTAAATATTATGATACTTCTTAAGTGCTAAGATAGCATCACAGATTCAGATCTGGAAAGGACCTCAGAGGTCAAGTCTATAAGCATCATTTAACAGCTGGGGAAACTGAGTCCTTCTTGGGGTGACTTGTCTGGGGTCACACAACTAGTGTGCCTGAGGCAGGATTTGAACCCATACCTTCCTGACCTAAGTAGAACCACTCTATCTACTATAATCAAGTTTATGGGTATGATCATTAATAGTCAGATACCTGGGTCCCTTCAGGTCCAATAATAATTCATATTTTGGCTCGGAGTATAATGAGGGGCAGGGGGTGGGTGGAGTGCTACTAAGGTTTTAGTACATGTTTATAACCCTGACTAAAAGTATACGTCTATAAAATTGTGAGGTTTAAAACAACATTTCTATGGGTCCCATTCTCTAGGCACAAATCATACAGAATCCTTTCCTCCTTGTCTCAGAAAGCCCTGCTAGTCTTGAAACCATTGCTGGGGTTTTTGGTAAGAATTCATTTTCAAGTTGGGGGCGGTGACTCAATGCCTGTAGCTCCTGCTGCCAGGGACCCTGAGGCAGCTGAATCGCTTGAGCTCAAGAGTTCTAAGCGGCAGTCGGGCCAACGTTAATTAGTTGGTACTAATTCCAGCTTCAACATGGTTGAGTCTCTAGGAGTAGTGGGGCCACTGGGCTGCCTAAGGGGAGGGTGAACTGATTTGGGTCAGAAACAGAGCAGGTCAAAGTTTCTGGGCCAATAGTGGGAATTGGGCCTGTGAGTGACTGCCGCACTTATAGCCTAGGCTGATATGGGGATCCTGTCCAAAGAGGGAAAATCATTTTCAAAATAAGTTTTTCGGGATATTTCTTTTTTCACTAGAAAAAAATTACACATCAGACAGTAGTACTCAGCTGAGCAAGGCAGCTTCATGGTTTTAAAGAATGCATAGACAAAGAAGGGACTTTGATATATTTGCAACTATATCCAAGAAAGGCTACTGCTGGTTCAGGCTGACTCCAGGTTCATAAATTTAAGACCAGAAAGGAGTTTAGAGCTCTTTTAGTTCAATTCCCCCTTTTCACAAATGAAGAAACTGAGGCCCTGAGAGGTTAAGAGACTTGACCAAGGTCACATAGGTAATAAATGGCAGAACCAGAATTTGAACTCAGGATCCCAAATTCTAAATCCAAAGTCCTTTTCAATATATGAAACTAATTTCAAACTCTATAGCCATGAAAGACAAAGTTTAGGAGTCCAGGAAAAGGGAAAAAAAAGACATTTTTATAGCAAAAGAAGAGAAAGTTGTAGATTATTTGTCATTTTGGTTCAGAATTCACTAGCTAAGTCTATGACTGGCTTCAGTTTCTATACAAATTTCAGGCAATAAAAAATGACTTTTAATGGCAAAAATACATTTTGAAATTTCTTGATGGAAAGGCGCACTAGTTTTTCAGATTCATGCACAGACAAAAATTTAGACTTTCAGAAGGAAACAAGATTAAAAGCATTTGGTAAGAAAACAGCAGGTCAGTAAATGTGCACAGTTCAAGATGGGCGTGTGCAGGGCAATTATACTTCAGATACTTTTGAAATGATACCTGGAGGCAGCAGTTGCCCATCCCAAATCCCATCGCATCCATGTAAATATGATTTGGCTGAGCGGCTTGGGCAGCTTCATCGTCCTGGGGAAACGTTTCTATGAATGGAAACGGCGTATTCTTGTCCTTAAAGACTGCATTTAAAAAGGAAGACAATTGAGGATCAAGAGTTAGGAAAAATAAGTGAACCTATTAAAAAAACTCTTCCCTTAATTCATTCCCATCTCTCCCTGGCCCTCCTCAACAAAGACACAGACACAGACACACACACACACACACACACACACACACACACACACACACACACACACTCTTATCACTTACTTGGTACATTGATAACAACTTTTTCTCCTCTCCTGTGTCGGATATTCCTTGTTAAGGTACTAAAATGGAAAGAAAAACACTGAATTGGGCAAATTCGCCATGAAGGTAAAACATCAGGACAAATTTAAAACCACCAGTCCTTACACTGTGCCAGAAGAAGAGAAAAGCACATCTCTTCCCATCACCAGCACGTGAACCGAACAGTGAACGTACTGCCAGATTAAGTTAAGAAGTTGGGTTAGGTTTGCTTAACTCCTAAAATTCCACACAGCGGCATTAATATCCTGCTAGAATTCTTCCGCTAGACTAGCCTTTAGTCATGAAGCACTGTAGGTACATTTTTGCAGGAAGCAATATGTATCCATAACCCCTGTCCCCTTACACTAATAAATCTAGAATATGACCCATGGAACACAGTGCAAGTTCGTTTGCTTCCCCCTGACTCATTTCTGCTTTGGGCTAAGTCAGGGGTAAGGAACCTGGCCTTCTAGGTCCTTGGGTGTGGCCTTTCAAATGAGTCCAAATTTTACAGAACAAATCCTTTTATTAAGGGGATTTGTTCTATGAAGTTTGGATGTAGTCAAAGGGCAGCCCTTGAGGACCTAGAGGGCCACACGTGGCCTTGAAACCACAGGTCCCCTACCCCTGGGCTAAGTTAACAGCAGGATAGAAATCGATTTTCAACTTTCTACAAGAAAATAAAAAACAAACAAACAAACATTAGATAAACAGAGAGAAAGAAGTATATGCTTCATAGGTGGTCATGATGGGGTTTTAAAAAGGGGTAAATGCAGCTTATTCCAACACAGCTGAACAGTACTGAACTGTTGCCATGTTTTAGGAAACAAAAAGATAAGCTGGGGAATGTCCAGAGGACAAGAATCAGGGATGCTTAGACTGAAGAGAGGACTCAGGATAGGATAGCTGTTTTCAAGTATTTAAAGGGCTATCTTGTTCTGTTCGGCACAACCAGGAGCAACAGAAAGAAGTCGTGAAGAGACAAACTTGGGCTTCCTGTCAGAAAAAACATTAATAACAACCAGAGAGGTTCCAAAGTGGGCTAGACGGGGCAGCTAAGTGGTGCAGTGGATAGAGCACTGGCCCTGGAGTCAGGAGGACCTGAGTTCAAATCCAGCCTCAGACACTTAACAGATAATAGCTGTGTGACCCTGGGCAAGTCACTTAACCCCCATTGCCTCTTCAAAAAAAAAAAATTCCAAAGTGGGCTAGAGCTGCCTCAGGAGGCGGTTCCTCTACCGGACTTTTTAAAGCAAAGGACAGATGTCCACTTGCCAGGGTTACTAACTGGGTCTGAGTTTAGACTAGATAAGATTTGAGATCCTTTCCAACACAGGTTCTGTTTGCTACAGAAAAGAACATGGATGGGAGCAAATGGTATCAGAAATACTTAAATGAGAGAGTTGTCCTCTCGTGAAGAAGACCAGGGTTCAAAGCATCTCAGTCAATATGGGCTCCTTTATCCTAACAAGATATTGTCGACTGGCTCAGGTGTCCTCTCAGCTCTCATTTTAGTCAATAATACTTCTTGGAGCACAGGAATTCCTGAGATGATGAGTAAGGTGTTAGGAATCCTAAGCACAGGCCTGACACCGTTAGCTTGTTCCTATTGTTTTCGATGGCAATATTGAAATTCTGTGGTTCTGTTTCTTTCTCTCAGAAAGAGTTCTCTAACCAAAGGGTTATAGACTTAGTCACAGAATCAACAAACAAAAAGAAATTGCTGATGGAAAAGTTCAGGTTCCTGGAGAGGAAATAACCTTTCTCCTCCCACAAAGTTTTTGACACTGATGACTCCAATTTACTCTGCCCTGGATCTGGAATTTAGTTACACAGTAAGGAAACAAATCAGAGACACGTTCCTTTCATTGAGGCTTAACATCATGGCTTGGAAATATTAAAGGACACGATAAAATCCAACCAACCAGAAAGCCTTTAAAGAGCATCTGAGTACTTTTGCCTGCTGGGACAATGGGAATGACTCCAGGGTTACCAGGCCACTCTCAGATTCAAAGGTATCCCTATGTAGATGGGTTTATATGGAAGATATTTTCTCCAGTCTGGTGCTATTTACTGGGCACTATCGCAGAAAGTTAGGAAATCATGCTTTCAGACTGGAGAAGCAAATCAATGAGTGCTATCAAACTTCACCTAGGCCAATGATAATTGTTTAGGAGGCAGCGCTGCCCAGTGAATGGAGCTCTGGAGTCTGGAAGACCTGGGTTCAAATCCTGGCTCTTGTCCTCAATTTCCTCATCTGTAAAATGAGCACCTACTTCACAGGATCAAATATGAGACATTCTACATAAAATACTTTGCAAATCTTAAATCTCCATATAAGTTTGAGCTATTATTATTAGTCTCATACTTTTCTTAATATCCTCAAGCTCCCAACCCCTCCTCTACCCTCCTCATTTCTCAGAAGAGGATCCTCAGTTATCATTCAGTCAGCTCTCATGTCTACTTCTCTACTGTAACATAGCCCTGTACCTTCCCTCATTTATTCTTCTCTCCTGTCTGAGTTGTGCAGAGGAGAAGCTTTTTCAGGGTAGCAGTCTTAACAAGATCTCCTGTTTTATCCTGGTTTTCTCTTATCTAAGGCCTTACTCCAGCAATCATTCTGCCCACACTGCCCTTTGGTTACTTCCCTATCCCTTTCCACTGACTTTGCACCTTTCATCCTTTCCTAGAAGCACAACACCCCACAAATTGCCACCAAAGCCACTTTTCTCCAACTCTGCTACATTCTCAAGCTACCATGCTCACAGCACTATCCTCTTCCCCTTCCTTGCCAGTTCTTTTACACCTTCTTCTTTTTTTCCTCATCCACTCCTGCTTTTTCAAAAGGGGAGTCACCACCTAAATCCCCTGATCCAATAGCCTTTTTGAGCCTCATGCTCCTTTACCTCTTTATAACACTCAAACTGTTGACCACTCCTCCATCCTGTAAGTTTCTCCCCCTTCACTTCCAAGACTGTACCCATCTTAGATATTACTGTATGTATTTAGCATGCTTCAAATAAAAGGTAGAAGGGGGGAAAAAAAACAAGGAATGAGTATCTGAGGCAAGAGCTAAGTAAGTTTAGCAATACAAAAGATGCCTACGGATGCTAAGAGTTAGAAGCATCTACCTCGCAGCGTTGTTGGGAAGATCAAATGAGATAATCATTGTACGGTGCTCAACACAGTACCTGGCACACAGTAAGCGCTTATTTAGCCCACCTCCCCCACCCCCACTTCTCACAGATGAGAAACCTAAAGCATGGAGAGGGGAAGTCATGTCCTAACTCCTACTGTAGTAAGTAACAGGGCTGGGATCAAAACCCAGGTCTTCTGATTTTATATCCAATGTTCTTTCACTATTCTACATACAGCTCAACAAGAAACTAGAGAGTTCGAGAGGGGTCATAATTCAATAAATGATTTCAAATTTTGAGTGTTGATTGACATCTTAGAAGAAGCAAGGCAGCTAGATGGCACACTGACTAGAGAGCCCTGGCCTTGGGGGTCAGAAGACTTGAATTGCTACATTCTGGGCAAACAGATTCACTTCTCTTGAGCCTCAGTTTCCTCCTCTGTGAAATGAGGTGGATGGATCTGACAGTCCTTTACAGCTCTAAATCTACGATCATATGAAGTAGTGTACCACTACCCCCTTCCCTGGGAGAAATAAAATATTTAAAGCTCACACAAGGCAGTCAGGTGGTACACAGAGCTTTGGGGCTTGGAGTCAGGAAGACTTGAGTTCAAATCCTGCCTCAGATATTTACTAGTTATGTGACCTTGGTAAAAGGTCAGATGTGACTCAGCCTCAGTTTCCTCAACTTCAAAATGGGGATGACAACAGTACCTGCCTCGCACAGCTGTTTTGAGGACCAAATGAAATAATCTCTGTAAAGCAATTTGCAAACCTTAAAGCACTATACAAATGTAAGCTATTATTATTATTATGACCATGTGAGAAAATTACCCCAGAAACACATAGAAATTTTAAAGACTATGTAAGAATTCCAATCATCATAGAATCAAGATTACAGGTCACCTAGAGGCAATGGAAAGATGGATGGTGAACATTAAATAGGCTATATTATCAATAATGAGTTTTACAAAAGGAGTGATGCAAAAGATGTTCTCACAGGAGGCAGACTGGTGACATGGCAAGAACGAGTGAGGGGACAGGTTGGCAGTGTGTATGCCACCCTGGTTCTACCAAAATGTCATCTGGAAGACACCTGCAAGGCCAGCCCAAAGAGGGGGATTTATGGGAGAACGTGGACACACACGAGATAAGGTGTGAATGCGTAAGAGGAATCACAGACGCACTGGAATGTCAAACTGTATGTAAACACTAAGATACACAGACCTGAATCTGGGATGTTTGTTGATTGCCTCATCTGGAAAGAACAGGGACTTTGAAGCACCTCCTTCAACGGGGGTAGGTTTGCAGTCAGGTAGCGTAAACCCAGGACAGCCTAATCTACAAAAGATGGGAGAGTTGAACACATGCAGCATCTGAATTCCAGGCTAAACTCTGAAAAGAAAAAAATAATTCGATCAAAAAGTGGGCTAACCTACAGATGAAGCTTCAGTGGCTCTCTCATTGTCTTTAGACAAATTAAAATACAAATTTCTGTCTGGCATTTAAAACTTCTGTCTATCCTTCTAAGCTCATTATAGATGCTTCTATTTACACAGGCTGCCAAACAGACCTGCTCCTTAATCACTGGATGACATTCGCCCCCGCTTCCTCTATGCTTCAGCACAGGTTGTGACCCTCATACCTGGAAGTACTGTCACTTGCACGTGTCCCACTATTTTAATGCCCTCCCAATCACTGTGTATTCTGGAGGGGCACATATTCTATATTTGTGAATGTGTGCCCTAAGTAGAAGTGGACGGCTCGCACTATTCACTCTTGCACACCACCCCCACACACATCCCACAGAACGAGTGGCACATTCTTGAAGTAGGTGCTTAATGAATGCTTATTGACTATTACTACACCACAACCACAACAGAAAGTAAGAAAAGGTATCATTCAGAACTGGGGATGGAGGAAAAAGCTAAAAGATATCCCTCATTTAAGATCCTCTTCTAAAATTAAATAATTCCAAGGTTACACCTTCCTGGCTTTCTTTAAGGAACAAGGAATGAGTATCTGAGGCAAGAAGTAAGTTTAGCAGTACAAAAGACACCTGCAGATCCTAGATTTTAGAATCACCTACCTTGGAGGGTTATTGGGGCAAACGAGATCACAATTAAGTGCTTGGCACTTATTTAGTCCAACCACTCTCCTCTTATAGGTGAGGAAACGGAAGCTCAGAGAGTGGGACTAAATCCCACTTTTTACAGGAAGCCTTCAAGAATCCTTCTCAATTCCAGTGCCTTTCCTCTTTATTTCCTACTCATCCAAGTTCTATATAGCTTGCTTTGTATGCATTAATTTACATGTTATCTCCCCAATTATTTTGCAAACTCCTTGAGGGCAGGGGCTGTCTTTTGCTCCTTTTTGCTCCTTGGCACTTAGCATAGTGTCTAGCACATAACAGATGCTTAATAAATGCTTATTGATCGAGCATTTACATCTTAGTATGAACAAACTAAAGCAAATGCCTTTCTTCTTAGCTGGACTAAACTTGTAAAGAATGAAGAGTTTTGATTATATGGGAGGGCAGCAGCCATGAGAGAATTCTGAAACACCCGCAATTCCAGAGTGGGCACAGCCTCAGGTGGTATATATGGGCTTCTGCACAGATAGAGGGCAATATAATTATAATGATGAATAAGGGGAAATGGTTAAAAAGGAGGGACTTAGAAAGGATGGGAAGATAACAGAGAAATTTAACCTTTACCCCAACTTTCTCCATTGCCCTGGTGGTACCAACTCTTCCCGTGTGCCACTTTTGCTGTCTATTTAACACTACGCTTGGGGCCCACTCCCGATTGGAGCATTAATTACATTGAGAGTTTAATTAGGTCATCCATTTCAAAATGGTGACTTTCTGATAACATTTAGGGAAAACAAGTACCTTAATCCTATTAGTGAAATGTCCCCAAATCAAGAAATCAAAGAGACCCTACTCTAAACTTACAGTGCCACATTTCCCATTACTCAGCAGCATAAGAAAGAAATCCCCTTGAAAGCAGGAATTCTTCCATTCTTTCTCCTTTTATCCCCATGGCCTAGTACAGAGTTTGGAACATATCAAATGCTTAGTAAATACTTGCTGACTGTCTTTCCCATCTCATTTTACCCACTTGAAGTGTCTTTGTATAACCACCAAAAATGATAAAATGTTGAAATGGTCACTACTGATAATGTAAATTTCATGGAGTTCAACCTTTCAGAGATTAGAATTTACTTCTTGGTTAACAATCAAACTCCATTCTCACTTTACTATTCTGTAAGAGCTGCTTCCAAGTTCCTTTGGAAAAAAAAAAGTCCATACCAATTCCAACTGTTTCATGGCTTCCCAATTAAGTGTGAAAACAATATCAGAAAATTTCTTTATTGTTTGTTAACAGCCCAATGGATAAAGGGAAAGTACAAGAATAGGCTAAAGAGAAGAAATGTTGGGTGGGCCTTGACTTTCTTTCTTTCTTTTTTTTTTTAAGCAATTGGGGTTAAGTGACTTGCCCAGGGTCACATAGCTAGTAATGGCCTTGACTTTCAAAAATGTCTTTTTAGGGGTGAATCCCCATTGTTATGCAGGAAGGACCTACAATCCTCAACGACTCAAGGCAAAGGGGTAACTCTGAAAGTCTGCTTGCTCCAGGGAAGTTAGACAGGGAAAAAGAAATATTTGCTGAAACTTCCTTAAATAGTTTCATTTTGGTGAACAAAGGCAGAACAAATAATGAGATGAGGGGGATGAAAAGAAATTAACAGAGAAAGAAACTGACAGACAAACCGACAGACACATGTGGACCATTTATCAAACCATCAGCAAAATATTCTAAATTTTAAGGTGGGAAACAACTATTAAATGTTCAATTAATATTTGCTATAATTAATATACTAATATCTTGGGTCCAACTGCACAGCATTATAGACCCTGAGAATTCAAAGAGACTATATTTCAATCTCTTAATCTAACTCCTTTCCCAATAATATTGCTTGACATATGGTCAACAAGACTGGTTGAATACTTACTACGCTTAAGCCCTAGTCACTACTGAACAAAGCAGCCTGTTCCACTGATGAATAGGTCTATTACAAAACCTTTCCTTACATGGAACAAAAACCTTCTTTCTTCATTTGTACTCTTTGGGCTGAATTCTGCACAAAAGAAAACTCTTCAGATACCTGAAGAAGTTATCAGGTGTATACTAATAAGCCTTCTGTTTTACAGGATAAACATCTTCATTTTCTCCAACTATTTTTCATGTTTCACATCTTTCACCAATCAATCACTAGGCATTTATTAAGCACTTGTTCTGTCAAGGGACTGGAAATGCAAAGAAAGAGTTCCTACTCACAAAGAACTAAAACATTCTTTAATCATAGTCCAGTCTGTAGAAAGCCTCCCTAAAATGTCACCCCAAAGTTGAATATAATATTCCAAATGCAATATGCTGTCTGCTTACTTCACTGTTTTGGACATTCTGTCTCTTAAACCAAAGACTAAATTAACTCTTTGGGTAGCATACAACATAGCTGTACTTGTGCTCAATTAAAAAAACCCAGACTTTTTCTATAAAACCAAGTCTGTTCAATCCTGTACCTATAAAGTTTATTTCTTTTTTAAAATTCAATACAGGCCTTGGAAATTATCTTTATTAAATTCAGACCACAATTGCTGCCCAACATTTGGAGATCCTGATTCTGTCATCCAACCTATTATCTATCCCTTCAAATTTGTGTCATCTGCAAATCTGGAGGGAAAAAATACTTTCAATGTCTTCATCCAAATCACTGATCAAAATCTTTAACTGGATAGTCAAGACTGACTATCAAAGTAGCCAGAGTCTTACTTGTTTCATTCATGCCAAGAACTGGGAGAAGGCCATTGCAAAAGTATGGAGATCGTAGAGTGAATGAAGAGGAATGGAGTTAGTTAACTCTGGAAAGTTAAGTTGGGAGGGCCAGGTTGTGAAGGGACACTTTGTTTTAATTACCCATACCCCTAGATGCCTTCTCCCCCAAAACTACCTTGTGTTTACATATTTTGTACATACTTTTATATGTACCTATTGTGTTCTCTAATAGAACGTAAACTCCTTGAGGGCAGCAGGTATTTTGATTTTGTCTTTTTATCTTCAATGTCTAGCTCTAAAGAGGCATTTAATTAATGTCTGTTGATTAATCACAAGAGGTCTTCCTCAAGGATTCATTTATTCATCTGATATTTAGAATGTCATCAATCCCTTTATTCACACTATGTGGGGATTTTGTTATTCAATCAGCTACGAATTTACCTGTATTTCTCTTATCCACAAGAATAGTGATACTGTTAAATACCTTTCTGAAATACCACCTGGTATTTAATCTAGTGCCTTAAAGATCTATGCTTTCATGGTATGCTATTTATCAGTGCAGATTGCAAACCTTCCTAAATCCTCTGAAGATGGAATTCATGGGTGCCACAGCTAAATCTTCACTAATGACTTTCTCCTAATGTAGTTAGGCTGGTCCTTGGCCAATAGGATTAATATATTTGAATACTTTCCACCTTGGCAAGACCCACCAGGAATTGTGTTCTACCAGCACAGCCTTCAAGAACTTAGGGTGACTCTGATACCACAAGGCACAGAAGGAAGATCTTAGTGGAGGACCAAGATATTAATCCTAACAAAAAAAGAAATGAGATCTGGCTTGTGAACTTGTGAACTCATGCAGTCTTCTAATGATCACTGTCTTCATTTCTTAGAGTTCACTAACTGATGAATAAGTTATTCTTGTATTATCTGGGTTTGAAAGTAAGGTGAGGCTACAGGGGTTTTTTTGTTTGTTTTCAGGCAATTGGGGTTAAGTGACTTGCCCAGGATCACACAGCTAGTGTCAAGTGTTTGGTCTAAGGTCACATTTGAACTCAGGTCCTCCTGACTTTAGGGCCGGTTCTCTATCTACTGCACCACCTAGTTACACGCCCCCCTCCCCCATAGTTTTTAGAATCCACCCCTTTTCCTTACCTGTCTTCCATCTTCTGATCCCTCCATCATTCTACACTATTCTTCAAAGATTACTAGTGACAGTTTAGCAATCACACTCATTAATTTCTTCAGTAGCCCAGGATGAAATTAGCCTGGGCCGGGAAACAACTTCATTTGGAAAAAATAAATCTCTTAAACTTTCTTATCACTTGCCTTAGACTTCATTCAGTTTTTTAAAATCATATTTGTTCTATAATTTTCAGTCTACAGGCTATTCTCCTGGATAAAAGAAATGACAGCAGGATAGGAATTAAGTAGCTATGCTTTTCTCTACTAACATTCTGTCATCTTCTCCAAGTAACAACTTATTCTTTGTGTCAGGCTAAAAGCTCCCTTAAGGCAAGAACTATGTAAAAATTTTCATTTTTGCATCTCTAGCCTTCAGTGTAGTGCACTGCACACAAAAAGCACTTAATAAAATCTTGCTTAATTATTCTTTTACATCTATGAATATCTGGAAAAATCCCAGGTTGTTGTCCTTAGCAGAGTTCAAAAAACTCAATTCAATTGAGTACAATTGTATTTTTTGTGTATTATATTGATACTTTACACCTAAGCCCATTATATGTTCAAAATGTATATTACATGTACAGCTATGTTATGGAATGTTATGTAATAGAATATGTTAGAGTTTGGTTTTATCATTCAAGCCCCACCTGACATCTTGGTTATGTGATCCTGGGCAAGAAGTCACTTAAATTCTCAGTTCCCTGGGCAACTCGCTAAGACAGTAAGTACCAGGGCAGATGCCTACCTGTAAGAGGGAATTTCTTCACTGAGAGTTCCCTACACCCATGATATCATAAGTCTGATTCAAAAAATTATTTCAAATTATTATTCACTTCAAAAAGCATTTATTAAGTGACTACTGTGTGCCAGGTACAATACATAAAAAGTAAAAAATCAAAGTCTTGATCTCAAGAAGCTTACATTCTATGGGATATTATAGAGGTATTATAGTATTGTATCTTTGCTTTAATGGCATGTTATGAATATCATCTATAATTTATTTGATGTAGATTTCTCAGCCAAGAACAAAAGCCCCAATTATTATGTTATTCCTATGGGAAAATACAACCCACTTTACAGCAGTATGCTTTATGAGTTTATAGAAATGTACTACAGCTGAAAGTGTGGAGTGACTACAATGTATTATGATCCACAATGAAAAAAGCAACCACTTTCTAATGATTCTACTGCTTTATTTTTAACTTATGGCCATTTAGGATCTCTTAAGCCATAAATTAACTTACCTGGGAAATGACGTTATAGTGCATAAAGCCTCATTTTCTTTTAAAAGAGATGAAGCCTCCTGCCTACGTTTTCTCATGTTGTCTTCGACTGTGTTAAATTCTGACATTGTTCCTCCATATGGCTGTCCTGGTGTCCCTTCAATCATATAGCTTCCATATTCTGGTCTCCAAAGTGTTGGATGGCTAATTGATGGAGAAAAATTGTTTAGTTTTCATTCTTGTGGTACAATTTACTCGATTATTATAAGAAATATGTTTAGTGAATGATTAGATACCACAAGAGGAAAAGAGCATAAAGAACTTTGTAGAGTTTATTATTTTCCACAAATCTTTAGTTATGAAAAGGTCTCATACTATTAATTCAGAAATATTAAAACTCTAAAAATGTTCAACACTAGAACAGCAATTACACTAAGTGACCTTCAACACTAAATATGATTAACATTACTGTGATGATAATTTTTTATTTACCTTTTATTAATTTTTATTATGTCATTCTTCCTGCAACATTCGTAAGCTGAAGCCTGTCTTTTGTTAATATTCACCTCACCTGGCTAAAATGTGACTCATGGAATAAAGTACTGAGGGGAAGACTTTGGGAGTTGGAGCTTCCCAAAGTTGTCTGTGACAACATTTCCCTGACTCTAAGCTTTTTAGTTATCTTTGTGACACTAAATTCTTTCCCCTCCAATTAGCCCAATTGTGACTTCTTTAAAATGTAGCCCTATAGTTCTGTAAATGCAGTTCTGTTTGTTTGTTTTGGCAAATTCAGTGTGTTTAAATCTGTAACTGTTTACTAGTTTGTTCTAACTTAGTTTATTCAACCTCAATGACACTGAAGGAAGCATGGGATTATGAATTTGTTTTTAACTTGTATAGCCAAAAGAATGATGAAACTACAACATGCAAAAGAATTATTTCTCTCTCTGGTGTTATTTTCTCTACAAAGGCTTGTTAGAAACTCCAATCTAGGCTCAGAGTTTGTTTTTTTCTACCTCCTGAACCTGTGTTCATGCATAATTAAACCCTAAGTTTTTACCTTTATAATTTCTGTTTTGTAGTAGCCTACCACATGAAGTCAAAAAGGAGGTACTTCTCCCATAACAACTGTTGCTCCTCAGTGACTATTTCTCTCTGCAAAGTTACCCTTCCTTTTAACAAACTAAACAAAATAAACCAACACATTTTTAACAAGTATGACAATATATGCCTCATTTTGCACCTGTATACCACTGCCTGATCGCATCAGAAAGAAGTATGTTTTATCAGCAGTCCTCAGAAATTAAGCTCTGTGCCATACAATGGTATCCTTTAAAAAAAGAAAAGGAAAAGAATATGGCCTAAAGTAAATTATTAGTCAAATGGGTTGAGCTCAATGCAATGCAGGACTATAACAGTCAGGACTAAGCAAGTCGGCTATATATACTGCTTACTTTGGGTTTTTTCTTTCCCCTTTTTCTTGTAACGCTTCAAGGACTTCCTCTCCTTTCAGGACCACACGTACTTTTTTATTTTGGTGATCAAAAGCTACCAACATGTATTCCACCTATTTGAAATAAAGGAGATAAGAAAAGAAAGATGTTAACATTCCTTCAAACTGGTCTCTGTGCATTTTTTTTAAGGCAAGTTGGGGTTAAGTGACTTGCCCAGGGTCACACAGCTAGTAACTGTCAAGCGTGTGCACTCTTACTTTTTCAACAAATTGGTTAAAGAAAATGGCAGCGGAATATGGTGGTCTGAGAAGCAGAGACCACTTTGCTCAAAGTCAGGAGTCTCCATTTATTTATACTGTGACAGAATGCCTATCAGTTTTCATATTATGAAAATGCATAAAAACTAGGTAAAATTTTATGACTAAAATATCACCCTTTCTAAAACCCTGAATAATACTCTAAGTCTTGCTCTCTAATAGACATTTTTTCTTGTTCCACTCAATACTATCACATAGTGAAAACAGTGACTGTTAAGAATCATACCTTCTAGTTGAATACCAGTTTTGGCGGATATGCTCCAAACTAGCCTGCTTCAGGAATTGGTCATGCAAAGAATAATAATCTCTTATCTTATAACATGTTCTGGAATTGCTTTAAATATGCTAGGAAATTGACTGTCAAGGCAAACTTGATAATCCTTATCAGAATTACCTTTTAGGAGCCTACAGAAAAAAATGCTAACATCAGAGTAGTGAGGTAAGGACCTCAAAGTCCGCTAACCTACAGCTAATCTTCTGGCTATGCAGTTATTTTCTTAACAGTAATATTGAAAGTTTTCACACACTCAAACCAAATTCTCCTTGTGCTTCTAACTATACCATATTTTCAAGGTTGGGGACCCTAGTAACTTTAGAATAATGAATTAACAGCTGCTATGATTCTGTAAATTTACAGAACCATGAAAGTTTCCACATAACTAAGAGACTGACTCTGGTGAACTGAGAAAACAAAATGCTGTTGGTTTCCCTGAAACACATGGCTGATAATGAAGACAATGATAAAAATATTTTATGCAGGAAAATCCGAGATAAATCAGATAAACCTATAAACTTTTGGGGATGTTTTCATTTCTTTTTTTTAAATCTTAAATTGTATTTAGTAACATACTTTTTTTTTTTTACTGTCCTCGTCTCCTGTGTCTATTTTCACATTAAAGTCACCTACTATCAAGGCAGATGTTGCCTTAATTTGGAGAATTTTGTCAAGTTCTTTCTGGAAGTTTGCCACTTCATGTTTTGCAAAAGATTTTTAGCACATAAGTTGTACAAGTCTTTAAGGCAATCTTTCTACTTATGTAAATCATGAGATTTCCAAGGTCAGATAACCAAAGTATGCCATGAAATTTTTTTTTAATATAATCTTTGGGTGCATGATGGAACCTACTCTACTATCTACTTTATTTGCCTCTCCATGATATACCTCCCATTTGCCTAAAGTTTCTTTGTCTTACAGCTTCATTTGTAGCATGAATGTCTGATACAGTCATCGCTGTGGTTCATTTCCTCCAATAGTCTATCTTCATGTAACAGGTCTCTAGACAAAGGGTTCACATTTAAAGGATCAGTAGTTAATTAGACAGTCTGTTAGCTTCGTAACATCCTCAAACCCAATTTCTGTCATTCAGGCAACATCATGATGGAAGCAGAAAAGGGATATGCAAAGCTGAGGACTATTTTGTATTTTTCCCGTTACTGGGTTGTCATGGTCAAAGAATCCATAACCTACCTAGTAGCCAATCTGCTGGTAATGATCTCTGTATTTACTTAAGTTGGTTCTCAGACAGGCAGACGCTGTCAGTGAAATACTGACCAAATATATTTTCCTAAATGACTAATGACATAATAGTTAAAAAGGAGGCCTTAAGTCACAGCCAATTGAATTCAAGCTGTCCTCTGGGGCCAGTTAGGTAGAGTACAGGGGATAGAACACTGGCCCTGGAGTCAGGAGGACCTGAGTTCAAGTCTAGCCTCAGAAACATGACACAAACTACCTGGACAAGTCACCTAACCCTGACTGCCTTGAAGCAAAAAAAAAAAAAAGGGGGGGAGGGAAAGTTCTACCTCTGACAAATATACTGGCTGTAGCTGAGTTGTTTCAGTTGTGTGCTACTCTCCATGATCCCATTGGGTTTTCTTGGCAAAGATATTGGAGTAGTTTGCCATTTCCATCTCCAACTCATTTTACATATGAAAAAACTAGGGCAAACAGGGTTAAGTGACTTGCCTAGAGTTACACAACTGTTAAATGTCTGGGGCCACATTTGAAGTCAGAAGATGAGTCTTCCTGATGCCCAGGCTGAGCAGTCTATCTACTTCACCACTTGGCTACCCCTACAGGTTTGAAAGTTTGGTCTAATTTAATAAAGTTGTAACACTGTGTGTGGGGGCAGCTAGGTGAGACAGCCCTGGAGTCAGGAGGACCCAAGTTCAAATCCAGCCTTGGACACATAACACTCACTAGCTGTGTGACTCTGGGCAAGTCACTTAACCCCAATTGCCCCCCCCAAAAAAAGACTCTGTGTGTATGTAATCTGTAAATGCATTTTCCATATGAAAAATTATCAAATGTACTCAAAACAATAGCTGAACTTCACATAAGTTTCAAAATAGTAATCCAATAAAATAGGTACATTATTTAGTTCTCTATTTTAAGTGCCTGCTGAGCCCAGGTGGTTTGTCATCTTTATAAGATGACTTTCTAAGAATGGGTGGAATCCAATTAAGGGTGAGGTATAGGTAAGAGTGAATATAGCTATGCAAATAGAAACAAAAAACCCAAAGAAATTGTTTATTTGTCTAACTAGGAAACATACCACACAGAGAATAGGGTAGGAGTCCTATACAGGAGATATAGAAGATATTCTTGAAAAGTGTTGCATTTGGCTAACCATCTTAGTGTTGGCTGAAAGGGCTTTCAAAATTAGGATATAAATCTCAATTTTGTCAAGTCAGTTTGTGTAACAGAAGATGATGTAGCTTGGGAGTTAGAAGGGACTTCAGAGATCACCTAGTCCAGTCCCCCACCCCCTTTTTTTTTTTACAGAGGAGGAAAACTGAGGCATAGAGTAGGTACCCTGGGGCAAAGATGAGTTGACTGGAGATTTGAACCCCTGTCAGTAGACTCCAATCTAGTACTTTTCCTACTATACCATACTGCTTTTTATTTAAACTTGGAAGTGAAATAACTTAAGGCCAATTTAGTTCCAAACCCAGCTTTCATGTTAATTCCCCTATTGTGGAACAATTCACTTACAAGGAAACACCACTCCTAAGAAAGGCATGTAACCACAGCCCTGGCAGGTAAATGACTTTGTAGGGGGGGAAAAAAAAGACTTTTACCTGTGCCCTTCATCTTCTTTTCTGCCCTATCCCACCCATCCCCCCATCCAAATAAAATATAAAATAAAATAAATCCATGTACATATTACCAGCAGTAAATGAGCAAGTGAGTAAGGTGGATTTCAGCAGTCGGTAACCCAGCCAAAATTACTCTGAATGGTAGGTCACAAGGCTTTCATTTATCATGCAAATTATTTTATGTAGCTTCATTGTGATCCCTAGGAAAAACTCCTCTTAATTCTGATGTTAGTTTCCTATTTTGTCAGCATTCTGAAATATTTTTCATTTTCCTAACACATTCTGACCCAAAGCTCAAAGTCGGATGGGCTAGGTGGGGATGGGAACTTACCTGTTTTTAAACCCTTCTCAAACTTGGCCCATTAGTCAAACCAAACAGAAACCAAGAAGAACCAAACCAAACAGAAAAACATCAAGTCTGACTATGGCCTCTTGGCAGTGTTGCATGATGTAGAGAGTTCTGGCCTTGAAGTCAGGAAAAATTTGGGTTTAAATCCTACCATTTACTAATTGTGTGACTCTTGGTAAATTACTTACCTTTTATGAGCCTCAGTTTCCTCATCTGCAAAAGGGGGAATGAATTATACCTCCATTACATACTTATTATACCTCCATTACATACTTCACAGGGTTGTTATAAAGCTCAAACAAGATAATGTATGAGAGGCGCTTACAAGCTTTAAAAGCACTTGATAAACATCAGTTATAACTATGACACAAACTAGAATCAGTTTTAATTTCAGAAGAGTTAATATGAAACTCAGTATTTCAGAACAGAAATAAAATAGAAAAAAAATACTTTCAGATAAACAGGCATGAATCTAGCTTAGTAGTTTTTGAAAATCTACTTGATATCGTAAAATATTTCGCATACAAGAAAGCATAAAATTCTTTAAGAATTATTTACATTCTATAATATTTACCTAAAAGGCTCTTTTCTTAGTATCCATCTGTAATTGTAATCTAAATGCTTAGGTATTTGTGCTTTGTATGTCTCTGTATACAATAGGCACTCAAACACTACTATAGATGTCTTGCTAAGAGACACAGGTATGTGAAAAAAGTACTGACTCTCAAAGCAAAGGGCCCAAACTCAAATCCCACCTCTGGTACTTCCTACCTATGGGACATTGAGCAAGTCCATCTTGGGTCTGTGTTTCCATACCTATAAAACAAAAGAAGCGGTCTAGATGGCATGGAAGTCCCTCCCAATTTTAGAGCTAAGATTCCCAGCCAAGGTAAAAAGGGCTTGACTGCTCAGTTTCAGTGATGAAACTTAAGGAGTATGGGCCCAAGCTGAGACTTTTGCCCCTCACCCCAAAACGAATTTGGGTCCCATTTGCCTATGGGACTCTCCTTCAACTCTCCTACTGGGTCAAGGAAGTCTCTAGAGGTCGCCTGAGATTATAATCCTATCAACTGGCCTTTCAATATAGCCTACACCCAATCTACCAGTTCTGTTTCCCTTAACCTAGTCCAGCCCTCCCTTCCAATAGCCCCTAGCCACTTCCCATCCCAGATCCTATCTAGATTCCATTCAACCTCCTAGTCACTCCCATCCACATCCTCCCTAGCCTGTCCTCTCCAGTCACCCCAGCCCATCAAGATACCCCTTCTCCCAGCCCCTCCTCCAGTTACCCCAAACTACTTGGCCATTCCTAGATCCCTCCCATATTATTTCTGTATATAAAATCCAT